CGACAGCCCTTGAGCCAAAATGGCTAGAGTGTGACCTGCAACACGAACTCTTTGTACATGTTTGGACGGATCCCAACTGCGGTCTTGAATCTGAACTAACTTGAAGAAAAGTTAGTCGAAACCAGCTTCTAGTATCAAGAACTAAGCTTCAACCTGAGCCGTGTTTGCAGCGACCCTGGCTCCTGGCTTCTTGCAGTCAGTAATCTTGTCACATTTCTGCTCCGCAGGAGCACGCCCCTTCATTCCATGCTTCTCTTGCGTTTCCTGGAGCTTCTCCTGCTTGCCCTCATGCTTTTGTAGACGAGCATCTGTCCCATACAGGCATGCCACGCATGACGACACAGGATCTGGATGAACCCTCGTCTTCGTCTTCGCCTCCTTCTCTGGCGTGGTTGCTTCACTGCCGTTCCCTCCCTCACTCGAAAACGGAGGCGAAATTGGGAACGAATCGGTGGACCGACCATCGTGGACTTTGGCGAGAGGAGTTTTGGGATCCACGCATACGAGCTGCTGAAAAAAGCCCTGGTGTCTGTTGTGCAGGACTGCCTTGGCAGTGCTGTAGATGCAGCTGGCCACATCTCCTGAATGGCTGAACTCGTGGGTTGGCATGTCGTAATCCTCCAAGTAAGCTGCCGAACTTGCACATGTGGTCTTGCCTTCCTGGACGGGTCCGACCAAGGCAGAGGCAAAGTCCTTCGAATCTGCTTTCTGCTCACCTGGCGTCTTGAAACGGAAGACTCGCTGTCTCTCGTTCTCTCTCCAGCTCTCTCCTTCTCTCCCGCTCTTTCTTCCTTCAGGGTTAGGGGGGGCGCAGGCTTCCGCCGTGAGTGCGCATGCTTAGTTTAGGGGTGGAAGTGGCGATAGTAGTCATGCAACCGTATACTCTCCTTGTATGGCAGTTTGCAGAATACTGGATTTGTGTATTCTTAGAGTCTTAGACTGGCTGCAGCACCTGCATCTTTAAACCATTCGGACATCTCCTCGAAAGCCTTATCAAACTTCGGAGCGCAAGCCCAGGCCATCAGCCACCTTGCAGCTACGAGGATCAAGGATTCTGGAGCAGGGGAGGGGTTGAGGAATTAGCGGTTCTGAGGGTTCTGTAAGGACTACTGTGAGGGCTACGAGTTACGATAAAGGCTCTTTTTCGTTTCGCAAAGGCTTGGGTCTGGAGATGAAGTTGTTCCATTCGTCCGGCCTGGGCCGCCCCAAAGGCGCAAAGAATGTGCTCTCACGCGCGCGGCTGCGCCCCCCCACTTGAGAGAACGCGCTGCGGATGAAGCATTCGGAATCAGACCCCGCCTGGGATCTCGGCATGCACACTCCGTCCTGTGAAATTAGACAGCAAGTTCACAAGTCAACAAAGCCAACAGCTGCCTTGACAACGATGGCAAGTTGACAAAACTGGCCATAAGACGCTTCGGTCTATGTGCAACTCTCAGGCGCACAAGGATACTGAGGACAAAGCGAGAAGACGCCCGACAGAGCCCGGGCGACTGCGACAGTGTCGTCAATGTTGTTTGAGCTTGTCTTGCCCTGCACTGCATGCAAGCACCGCCCAGTCAATGCGAAGTCTCAGCTGGCCTGACATCTGCCAACTCTCAGCAGACGGACACGAAATCGCTATCGAGTTCGGTGCATATGAAGATGACTGGGACGGTGGTTGCAAAGCAAGAAGCAGCACCCAGCTGTTTAGCGTTGCACCAGCTGTTTGTTCATGTGATTCATGTCTGTTGCATCTAGATTCTGGATAATGCATGAATCATGCATTATGAATCATGCAGCATGATACTGCCCCAACCGGCGTTCCCAAACGTGAACCAATCCGAAGGCCTCTGCGGCACTTTGCTCCTCGCCGGAGCTCGAGAAGGCTGAAAGCGCCTCACGCCCCTTGGGCTGTACCGGGCCCAGCAAGCCTCTCCACAATGCAGATGGGCTACCAAGCCGGGCTTGGTCTTGGATCAATCGGACATCTGTTGGGTTTAGGTTTAAATATTTTTGGTTTGTGACATCACAATCTTACTTGGCAGGGAAGTAGCAGGAGCAGTAGTCGCAGTAGTCGCAGTAGTCGTCGTCGTCCTCGGCAGCACTATCAGTACTCGTCGCCATCGTCGAGTCTCACAGTCGCAGTCGTAGTGGGTCGTATGTCGTGATGGTGATTTTGGTGGTGGCGACGGTGGCATCATTGCTGCCCCTTTTGGTTTGTTAATGCTGCCTCCACACTGGAGCCCCGTTCGGGAGCCACATCATGCAGTTCGTCCAGGCCAGCTCACTTCACACTTCCCTGTCTCCTCGCTCTCGCTGTGCTTTCTTCTCATGTTCATCTGGTGCGGGGCTCTCAGTTTCAGGCGGCTCAGGTTTTGGTCGGCTTGTGATACCCTTTGTTGGCTCGAAGGCGCATCTCAGTGCATGACAACACAGTTCAGCCTGATCTGTCGCATGTAGCTGCTCAGACGGTATTCCATGAATATCGCCTGTTGCCTCGAAAGTTTGGAACCTAGACATCTTAAGTCTTATCAGCTTCCTACAATGGAACCAAGTAGGGGCTCAGCGGCGTCGGGCGTGTGTGAACAGGACGGAGCGTTTCGAGAAACTGCTCCGGGGTTCCAGCCTGTGCGCTGCCAGTAGTAGGCCACCATGAGCCCGAAAGCATACCCAGAAGGGTATCCTCGCAAGCAGCGTGTTACAGGCAAGGGGCCTTTTGGCCACCGTCTCTCTTGCTTTCCCCTTTTCAAGCAGCTTCTGGACTGGGGAGCTGGCCTTGTCTTTGTCCGCAGATCTGCCGCCTGCGGGTCAGGAGAACCCGAAGACCCGAACCAAATCATCGGGATGCTCGGTTTTTGTTGACTCCCGAAAGGATACCACATGGCAGGTTACATGTAAGATACGCGATCTACTGCACCCGATGTCTGCATCCATAAAAAGCTGCATGGTGCTGGTACTACTGAAGATAACCTTGTTATTCGTGGTTCGATGAAGCACACCTGGTGACTATCGTCACTCAAGGATTCCCAGGAATAGCAGATTACCCCACTTGTTGTCGAAACCGCTGCTAAATCACGTCCTACAGTCATCTTGCTGTTAAGTCTAGTGGACAAATCTCCCAGGCTGCTTCCGACAACATGGTCCCTCAAGCTGGTCCAAATGCAAGCCGTAGGCTGCATTGTCTCGAGCCCGGAGAGAACAACAAGCTCATCCACCTACGACAAGCCCTGTGGAGAACCTCCTCCTTAACACTGGAACCTCTCCAAAGTCCCTCTGGCCAAGGAACCGCAAACCTCTTGAAGCTCAGCGACAAGCTCCCGCATCCCCGCACCTCTGCGCCCAAGCTCGGACCAGGAGCAGCACCGCAGCCAGGCCAGGGGTTGCGGCCTCGCAACCTACAGATTTCTCAAGTCGTGAGAAGAAAGGTTGCACTTCTTTTTTTTAGGAAGGATGGGTTCCGTCTGCTTGGTTAGCTTCAAGAATTCCGGAGTCGGAGGGAAGAGCCAAGTACATGTGGAGTTCAGGGTTTAAGATGAATACAAGCCTGTCAGTGCCTCCGGTAGCATTATTACATGCAGAGATAAAGCGGTCCGAGCTTATCTCTAACTTAGAGATCTTAGAGGTCTAGACAATCTCCTGGCCAAGATGTGCACATCTTCTAACGATGGACGAAAGATCATCATCATCCTGGTCGCTCTTACAGCGGCAAGACAACCGGCCAACGCCAATGCACGATGACGATACCTGCCGCTTACGGCTGCAGGTACATGCGCATGACCGAAAACCTACGACGGCGGAGAAGATTCCAGATTCCACGGCATCTGCCGCACGCTCTCAATGGAGGCGGCTGCGGTGATTATTAGCATGATTCACTGACAAGGTCCCAGCATACCGGGCAACCCGGCATGCTCTGGCGAGGAGCTCGCTCTTTGCGAGTGTGGCCAGGGTCTGGTCGAATGTGACCTGCAGCGTTTGGCAGCGGTGTCCTTTGACAAGGAGCCCTAGAACCAGCACCGGGTCGTCCGGCAGGACGGGTTCTGGGCAAGTGGAAGAAACCCCGACTGCTCAACCTGCACATTTTGTTGACAGAATTCTTCCGCATCAATGAGTTTCAAGCATCCATTCGGTCGGAAATGGAGCCTCGATGCCAGCATCGATGTGGGCATGCCTGCTGTAAAGAACGGTCGAGCATCCCATCCCAATGCAAGAACCCTTCCTGCTAGTGGCCCGCACTTGGACTAGATTTAGATTACAAGATCCCCAAAGATCGGCTAGCCGTTGTAAGATCTGATCCTGTCTCCCATTTCCGACGGACTGGACAGTAGCGTGAGTCTGCTGGCAGATCGAAGCCCAGAGCCAAAGCCCAAAGGCCCGGGCCTCAGCCCAACCGTCCCCAAAGCCAAGCAGCCGACACCCCAAACTCTCATCAGCTACGAGTAAGCTAGGTATCATTGCCGAAGCTCTGTAGAGGAAGCCCGTATAGAACTCCAGTTTGTAACTCCATGTACCCTCTAGAACCCCAAGGCCTTTTACAGAAAAAGATAGCGAGCATCGAATCCCGACATCTCTTTGTAACTATAGCAGGCGAGTCTGGAACAACCCCCACCTCAGCCGCAACATCGGGCGACGAGCGTCCAACGCCATCTCCATCACCTCCCAGTTCGCTTCAGCCTGATTTGATTTGGGCGTCAGCCGCTGCAGCGGGTAAATGGGTCCGGAATCTTGAATAATTATCATTATTAATATTAGTAACATGTAGTAATTACAGTAGTAGCAATAGCAATAATAACCCTAAACCGTCAACCCTAGACCGCTTCTGCAACTAAACCTTGAACCCTAAGGTGCATGTCAGGTTTCATGTATATAGGGGCATTAGTAACTAAAATAGGGTTTTGGTGTAGATTCGACTATAACTAAAATAAGGAACCCCCAAAAAATAATGTAGGTAACTCTAACAATACGGAACCCCCAAAATACTGTAGGTAACTATAATAAGGAACCTTCAAAATAATGTAGGTAACTCTTAAGGCCCCTATATTCGTCTTCTCCGGATTGGCCTCGCTGGTTCAAGGCTTCAGGCTTCAGCTCTTCTCTTCGGGTAGGGATCTTATCTTTATGGGTTTATGGTCAGGTTTTGGGATCTTTGTCTTTCATGGTTCATTATGGAACCCCCGCAATAATTTGCTGGGGACTCAAGGGTCAGAAATCAGAATGGACAGTCATGTTTTTTGTTGCAGTTCTGCACGAGAAAGCTTACGAATCTCACACTTGGTGACAGGGTGCAATAAGCGATCGTGCTTTTGAGTTGCAGGGGTACCCGGCTTTGTCCAGAGGAAAAACACAAGCACTGAGACAGCATGACGAACGCAGGGCGTTCAACGCTTTCCTTCAGCGCTTTCTTGTGGGATAGGCTTTTGGCGGGCTCGCCCTGAAGCGTACAAGTTTCATTCGAGTCGAGGTCTGACCTACCACGCCTCCGGTGTCCAAAGTGTTCGTGAGGTTCATTTGACGAACACGGACGGGGCAAAAAGGAAGCTAAATCCATCGACCTTGTAAACCTCAACCCAAACTCGATTTGTTAGGCCAAGGCCACCCTGACCACAACCCTTCCGTCATCACACAAGCTTCTGCGAGCTTATGTTCTCCTGGATGAATGAAGTAGCGCAAGAGCCAATGTAAAACAGTAAATGTGACTGCTTGCTTGTCAGGTCCGGCGCTATCCTCTTCGACTAAACTATATACATACATTATATATATATATATACCAGTAGACCGACATATCTATACACATGTTCAACCCTCTCTCTGTATGTATATATATATATATATATATGTATATAAATATATGTATATGTATACACCTACAGATAGGCAGACAGATTGATATCGTGTATAGACAAATGGATGGATGGACAGGTCGAGAAATAGATGCGTATGTGTGCCTGTGTGTGAACTCGCAGGTATCTTTGTGTTTGCTTGTCTGTATGTATGCACATACATAACTAGTTCTGTGCATGTGTATATGCATTCATGCATGAACGCATGTAGTGACCATCATGTGGTGTCCGAATGTATGCCTGTGGTGTTTGAACTTGCCCATCCCAGCAACTTGAGCCTCAATGTGCCGTCTCAACTGCAGCAGGGATCGCATGGAGACAATCCTCCCGGCAGATCTGTTGGGTCTTGCTTTGAGTTTTATTCATGCTTTAAGGACTTAGGGCGTTTAGGGTTTAGGACTCTTAACTTCGGGACCACCTCTGCGACTATTCACGCCGATAAAAGCTGTCCAACAAAGGCATCTCAGCCCATATACAGCCGACGGTCACGCACGGGTACTATATACGGGTGCAGGTGTTGTACCTACTTTCCAGAAGTCACGAGGTCTACCCCTGCAAACTCCCGTCGCACAGCACCTAGCCCTAGATAGTATGTTATCAAGGATCCATGTATGATTTGACGTGTGTATATTCCTCAAACAGAGGGATTTGGAGTCTCTCGGTCAGGGTCCCTTATTTTCTCCTACTGTACTCCCCTCCTGGGTGTGCTTGTGTGGCTCTGTTCGTCCGCAACCTGTCCGCGGCACGCAAAGTGAGACAAGGATTCAACGGAGAGGCAGATCACCGATTGGGGTGCTGTCGGTTACTTGAAAATTGCGAGGCAGAACCCAAGCGCTCAGAACAAGCCTTGGAAATATTGGCTGCTTTTGCTCGAGGACGACAATGCAGAAATACTGCCTTCTGTTCCTATTCACTTGACTGATTGTCGTGCAGCTAGAGGTCTGGTCACAGAATCCTGATAATCGCTGTGCTGCTGCACTCCATCCGCCTTCCTATGGCAGGTCAGTGCCACGATCAAACCAAAGATCCCTACTGTCCGAAACCGCCTGCGGCCTGGCTCCTCCTCGCGGCTTCGAATTCCGGGCGAAGCTCCACCACGAGGTCGACATCTGCTTGAGGGAGGCTGGCCTCATGCAGTTCAAAGGTGTTTCGTCGTAGTCTTTCGGGGTATGTAAGGGTTTAGGGTCTCAAGTAGCTCGAACCCTTCAACTTAGGTTCTTGCTTGAGGAGTTTAGTTTAGAGGCTTGGATCGGTGTATTTGTGGATCAGCCGCTCGACTGCTGTCATGCAGAAAACTGCTTTGCTCTTGCTGCGCTGGCAATGTTGTTTCTGACGCTCGTGGCACTTACAAGACAACTTCAACGGTTTGGCTTCGATTTGAACACCCACTCAGGGGCGGACGCCGTAGAGCCGCGAACCCACCAGGTGAACGAAAACATCCGCATCTTCCGCGCTCAGACTGGCAGCCGTCACCTCACGGAGTTCGAGCCTGCCGAGTAGAAATGCATCGACACACACATATTAATATATATATATATAGACAGATAGATAGAATCAGATAGCAAAAACACGGGCCAAGGTTTTGGAATCCCGTGGCCTGGAGCCCTCGCATTCCTGGACATGTCGGGAATCTCTGAAGCTGAAATCGCGAAGCACCAGTCTCTAAATGTTCGAACAGTGCATGTCGCATCCTCGGCAAGTATTAATGTAGGGGCCTTGATAATCAGAATAGGTTTTGGGGGTTCTTAGTATAATTGTGGTATCATATCCCCAAAACCCTATTCTAATTATTAAGGCCCCTATATTAAGTTGTGTTTTGGAGGACCCGGCCTAAGGCTTTCAATCTTCGCTGCTGCCAGATCCGGCCCAAGTCTGGCAAGGAGTTCCTCAGCTTCCGCTCACGGTTGAGCATGGCGGTCTTTTCGACCCAGAATCTCGGACACACATGCCTGGAAGTGAAACCACCCTAAACTGCCCTAAACCCCCCCTGCAAACAAACCGCAAACCTCAACCCCATAACTCATAACCCTAAACTGTCTCGAATCTGCAGCTTCGTCTCGAGAGGCAGCGCCTGCGCTTCCGCGGGCGCGTGCAGGGCTCTTTCGGCGAAGTCTTTGTCGCCTTCCAGGGTTTAGGGCTTACAGGATTCAGGGTTCGGCCCATCACAGCAACAGCACCACAGCAACTCACAGTAAAAGCAAGAATAGTTCAAAGAGCTACTGCACGGGCATAAACCAATAGAGAAAACTGCTTGCCAATCATCTCGAAGATGTTCTGAATATTCTGACGTCCACTGCTATCGTTGATCACCATTACCTGCGGTATGATTCACTCTGATACAACACCCAAAACACTAAGCACCATCGTAGCTTGTTCAGGCATCGCTGGGCTCGGTCAGCCACGCCTAAACCCTTAAGCCTGAACCCTAAACCCCCTAGCCCTTTGCCCTTACCATAAAAGCGCTCACCTCCAGAGCCTGAGGCCGCGCTGGCCTCACTCGCGCCTGCACATTGTCGGGATTTGAGAGTCTTACTCAGGGGCGGTTCAACAACGGATCCTCCAGCTCAAGGGTCTTGAAGGCTCCGCTACGTTTGATTCTGAAACACCATACCTTGCCTGGATCTATACGACATAGGTGTGGACGAGGATGGTGCTGATTCCGGAGGCCATCTACACAAGCTTTGTGTACATGCGGACACGAGGGCAGAAAAGCCTGCTCCCAGCGTGCAGCCAAGAGCTCTCACTGCAAGTCGAATTTCTATCATTTTTGATGGTTTTGAATTACAGCGCCCACTTCCTTCAGGAACATCTGACATCTGCTTTGCTGTGAACTTCGCCTTCCCGATCCTTTGCCTTATCAAAGCCGGGGTGAAGCGTATCTGTATCTCGTAGGAGCCGACCTCAACCATGCCGTCCGCGAATTCCTGCGTGCCCTTGCCGTGCCTCTTGTCGTTCCGATACTCCCCGATGAAGACGTCGCCGTTCGGCCACCTGAAAGTTCCCCTCGCGTGTCTTTCTCCACTCTGGAACTTCCCATGGTAGACCTCGCCGTTCGGGAACCTTCACCCGCAAGGAGTGCTGCCGCAGCTCCCGGGCCCCTTCGATGGGCTCGTACCACTCCGACGCCATCTCGACCCCCGCCTTGATCTTGCGCTGCTCCCACTGCGTGCGGGCGTTCTTCACTGCGTCGGCCACGCTCTCCTCTGCTAAGGTGCTGCCTCGAATCCTCGAAGGTGGGTGAGGCCGATGCGCGGAACGGACCACCGTTTGCCCATGCAGTCCTCTGCGATCTGCATGTCCGACTTCTCGCGCACAACGCCCTGCTGGATCTGAAGGACGAAGCCGCTCTCGCCCTCCTGGATATTGTCCGGTTCTCGGTGAAAGTCTGCAACCAGCGGTCGTCGGCCTTCTCCTTGCAGAGCGGTTGTTGTCTGAAGATCCTTGAAGAACTGGGGTAGTGTACAACCCCAACACTGATTCGGGTTGTACACCGCACAGCCCAGTTCTTCAAGGATATCCTGATGCCGATCGAGATGGTGAACCATGGCTCTTGGAACGATCGTAGAAAGGACGACGTGCGGTGCCTCGCGGGCCACGTGGCCGGGCGACACCACTCGTCTGGCACCTTGTCGTGGCGCGCACCCCCTTGTAGCCAGCCATGGGCAGTGCAGGACACGGGGGAGCTGAGCTGAACTGGCCGTTTGAGCAGCCTCGCCCTCGAAAAACACGCAGCAATGGGTTCCCTACCGCCCGTGTTCTTGTGCCCCGTCATCCCTGATTTTAGGGGTTGAGGGTTCAGGGATAGCTACAGTGCTAAGACCAAAATTTAAAAGCTGACAGACAAAGTAAAACTTTCCGGGTCCCACACAAAGCCTTCCGGGTTCGTCAGGCGTAGTTCCAGCTGGGACGCCGCTTGGTCCAGGGCGTGCTCGGTCCTGGTGGTGGTGGTGGTTGCTGCCGTTGTTGTAGCAGCAGCAGTGGCAGCAGCAGCAGCAGCAGCAGTAGTTAGCAGCAAATCATGACTATTCTGTGCGGGTGACAAGAAACACCCCACTTGACTGATGCCGGGAGGCAGCTCCAAGTGGCGCGGCAAGGTCTGACGCTGCCATTCCTGCACCAGGCACACTAGAGACGTTGCATGCCTGCTGATGCCAGCTAGTTTTGCGCGGACGCTATTTCACAGCATAGTGTGACTCTACGCAACTACTTCCGAATGTGTACATATATATATATATAGATGTGAATATAAATATATACATATATACATACATACATATATATATATATGCACATGTCGTGTGTATGTTTATATAGCACTAAACCCTAAACTCTAAACGAGGCCTCTGTCTGCGCCGCGCCGAGACCGGCCCGCAGCAGTCGCAGAGCCGAAGAGGCCGCCGGGATGAGCTCTGGCCCGTCGAAGGCGCGCCTCGTTTGGTTTAGGGGTTTAGGGGTTTAGGGTTCCGGGTTTAGGGTTTAGGGGTTTAGGGGTTTAGGGTTTAGGGTTTAGGGTTTAGGGTTTTTTGTTTAGGGTTTAGGGGTTATGGTTTAGGTTTAGGGGTTTAGGGTTTAGGGTTTAGGGTGTAGGGTTAGGGGTTTAGGGTTTAGGGTTTAGGGGTTGAGGTTTAGGGGTTTAGGGTTTAGGGTACAAGTACGATAACAAGAGACCAGAATATACCATGATATCCTGAAGTAATGTACTCTATTCTGCCAGAATATACCATGATATTTTGCAGCAATGTACTATGTTCTGGAATAACTTGGGATTCCTTGGAGGGTAGAATCAGGGCTGAGGGTTTGGATTCTAGGGCCTAGGATCGAAGCCGCGCCTTGGTTAGTAAGAGACCCACAATTCAGGATGGTAGATGTTGGGGTAAGAGTAAGAGTGCAACCTACAAACTGTAGTAAGCACACGCAACTTGATTGACTTCAAGTCACAACGATACAGCTTCAAGCTTTGAAGACCGGAGGTTGATCACGAACCAAAAACTGAGGTTGAAGTCGTGATGTGAACAAGTGTACAGGTTCAGGGATTAGGGTCTCAGGGTACAAGGCTTTGGGTTGTTGTTTGCCTCCTACGTGTCAAGGACGAGCACAGCCGCGTGGTACCAGGACCAGAAAGTTTGAGCTTCGAGCATGCCCACTGCTTCTGAGAACAAGTGTGCAAGCATGCGTTGTCAACTCGACTACCAACTGACCCGAATGCCTGAGAGTCTGGTTTGAGGGTTTCGACGTGCGCACATCACACCAGGCAGGCAAGGCTTCCAGGCAAAGTGTCCGACAATGGATATGCAAGAGAGAACTTTGAGAGTTTAGGGCCAAGTTTAGGGTTTAGGGGTTTCAAAGTGCACTGGGTCCTGCGCAATCATGTAAGCTAAGGCGACGGCAAGGCCGCATTTCGGGTGCTGCGCGTCATGGGCACGCGGACAGCGGGCATCTGTTGCAACAGTTCCAGGGTAAATTGCCAGCGGCGCCCAAGGGCGCAAGAAGAAATGGCTGCGTTGAAGGCCGCCGTCCCTGTCATGAGCAAGAGTTGTGAAGAGACAGACAGGCTCACATATAATGTACGACACGAAAAAAAAAAGAAAGATTGATCCACAGTCGCTCAATGATGAAGGAGGCAAGGAGAGCTAGAAAAAGGCGAGACAAATAAACGTCAAGCAAGCGAGGAAGCTAAGAAAGAGAAAACCCTGTCTCTTTGTCAAGTGATTATGTGTGCATGCTCACATGCACACGGACATCCAAATGAGCTCATCGATATCTCTAACTTGGTCTACTAGTACTATCCACCCATCCACTCTTTCTTGCAGAAGGCCAGGTACAGCGGATGCCCAAGAGAAGAAACCAAGTGTCCCGACGGCCTTACAAATTTCGGGGAGGAGCCTAAATATGGATCCGAAGTGACCGATTCCCCGATACACTGACCCCGAAATGGGACCCCTGCAGTAATTCAGCGGGCGTTCACCTAGCTCGACCCGCATGGCTCCAAGCTCCCGAAAGGTCTGCAGCGCCAGGCCCCACTGTCCTGCAGCACAGCACTTGCTACATCATAATATCGATGTATATATATATATATATATATGTGTGTGTGTGTGTGTATGTATATATATACACTACATTTATGCTGTAGTACGTTGTAGTAAACAGTCTAATATTACTTTGTGTTGAGTTCGGACCACATTGCACCGGAAACCCCTAACCCTACAGACACTTTCTCCGCCCATATCATAGCCGTGCTAAACCCTCCTACATAAGCAATACCTATAGTCTCCATTGTAGTTCCTTTTTTTGGTTTAACCAATTCTATACTAAGGATTCCATAAGGTAACCCCAAAAAGGAACTACATTCTATATTGAGGATTCCAAAAGGTAACCCCAAAAAGGAACTACAATGGAGCCTATTTGGAGGTTCATGGGTAGTTATAACTGGGGTTATAAGTAGGGTAGCTATACATATAACCCATATTAGGGGACTTATAACCCCACTTATAACTACCCACGAACCTCCAAGTATAGCTAACACTGCATCCTCGGACTCGGACGTGCCTGCTCGTTCGAGCGCTCCTCAGGTCTCAAGCACACTTTGCCGTCACTTTGCCTAAATCGGACTTTCCGAAAATAGGGGTACCTTATTTGGGGGTCCTTATAATAAGGAACCTATTATTTAGAGTGCTATATTAGGGGGGTTTCCGAAAATAGGGGACCCTAATATAGTACCCCAAATAGTAGGACCCTTATTATAAGAACCCCAAATAAGGTACCCTAGTTTGGGAAACTCCCGTATCTCAGACTCACTCATGGAAACTGCAGGAGGGCCGGTCGCGCACAGAAGGGATCCGTCAGCTTCACAGCTGAAGGGCCCCTCCACTTCTGAGGATTCCGGGGCATCCGAGCTCTAAATGCTATAGAAATCCAAAGAAAATCTGAAAGAATAGCTCTTCAAGACTTCAAGAGCTCAGGCCTCTGTTGGCATTCAGGACTCCTTGTCAAGCTACGGCGGCAGCCAATACTTCTGATAGTTGGGTCTTCCCTAGGCTTGATTCTCATGATCCCGACACTATCTATATCTATATCTATATCTGTATATACATATATATATATATAATATTAATATTATTATATTATATAGTATATTTTATATATATGTATACTAGTCCTGATTACGGATCCTGCTCTTCAGACATAGGGTCCATATTCTATACTAGGCTCCTCCTTTGTCGAAGACTACCGATGGCTACCGTAACTCTCTCCCATAGAAGCGGGCGGGTGGCGTACAAGCAGTCCAGAACTGATCCGGTCCGCAAGGTTGGCGAACATAGGCGAATTCCACACCTTCTGTGGGCTTTAGAAGGCTTCAGGGTGTCCCTTTTAAGGGGTGTTTGGGTTTGGTGATGGTTTTCGGCTTTTGGGTTTTTAGTGCCCTGTGCGGCCGCTGAAGCTTTTTGGAGTTTCAAGGTTTTGGGGCCGTCGTACAATTGACTATCCTCGCTTGGGGATATTTATGTCAATTTATGTTGCGACCCCTATCAATACTCGAGCCACTGACTCAAGAGGACAATGTTGCAAGTGACCTATGTGCAAACTGTGTGGAAAGGGCTCCGGCTAGTCCAAAAAAATGCTTGCTTGAGTTGTGCGGCATAGCTTCGCGCAGTACCTGTTCGGCCTAAATTGTAACAGTTGCCATCGCGGACTATCGTTGTATAGACAAGTACTTCCTTTTTTTCGTTCTCATGACGAAGACATCCCACCGCGAAACCTGCACAGTCAGAGCTCGCTGACAAGACACCATACTTACATACTCGAGGATGCGGCATACTATCAAAGGTCAGCGTCTCTTTCAGAGCAACCCTTCCAGAAGCTTTCCGGACAGCATTGCGCAAGGGCGCGACGCGAACAGGGCGCAGGTAGATGTGGCTTTTGGGACTCGGGGTAGGTGGGCGGCGGCTTACGCCTGACTCTTGTGGAAGATTAATCTAGCTGGGAGAAGACGGTTCAGGTTTACGCCGCCAATGAAACGAAAGGTGACATGCATCTGTGATGTAGGCAGAGTGACCACTTCCTTGTTCCATCTTTGTACCTTCGGAACAAGCACTCCACCAGCTACGACTAGGGAAACGGAGTCGGATGCGCAGTTTAGGGATCAATGTTCGAGGAGCGAGGACAATTGTAAAACGATTTGGGTGTTGTTGAGGTGGGAAGCGCTATCAACATGAATGCATATACATTTACCCAGTAGCTGCTGTGTATATGCCCAGAGAGAGACAGATTGTACACACATAAAAGTATTTTGAAGCATACCTAGACAAAGCGACTCTAGACTCAAATATACATAACTCCAATATACACATGCATACATAAATGATATGCATCAATCCACGCACGCATGCATGCATGCGGACAGACAGACAGACA